GCAGACTCCCTGCTGAGCAGGGAGCCCGATGCGGGACTCGATCCAGGGACTCCAGGATCATGACCTGAGCCGAAGGCAGTTGCTTAACCAACTGAGCCACTATATCTTTTTGAGGTTAATTTGCACGTAAACCAAAGGAAGAACTAGCCTCCGTTTGACATGCCCAGTGCCAGTGCAAACTCAGCTCCCTCCTTATAAATCACTGGGAGAGATGATAGGCTTTCCTTTTTGTCCCTTGGCCTAAATTTTGCCTCTTAGCTGCATCAGTGTTATGTCTCCCTAATCAAGTCCTGGTGATGGGTCAATCTTCAAAATCATGCATTCGTCTGAGGAGCTGATTAAAATGTATGCTGAATTGTTTGAAGAAAAAGAATACAGTCTAGATGAAAATGCTGTGGAGTGATTTCCTATTAAATTCATTTCACCAACATGGATATTAATCTCTAAGAAGTTGAGCTAAAAGATTAAACTGCAATTACTAGCCCTTAATTAGAATGTGAGCAGCTTTTATAGTCTCTGTCTGGATGTCTCACGAGCATACTGATTTCTTGTTAATACTGACCCTTCCTACCTTGAAACAGCGATGTATGAGAGGTAATTGGGTTTGAGGAAGCATTTAGCAACTCTCATGAAGTCTTCAGTTGCTTGCCCTGAGATATGGAGGCATCAATTTTTTAAAGAAAAATTTCTTTGCGTTCTACTTGACAGATAGTTGCTGCAATTATGGCCATTACGGGTATCGTCATGATGGCATATGCAGATAATTTCCACACCGATTCTATCATAGGAGTGGCATTCGCAGTGGGCTCAGCCTCTACATCTGCATTATATAAGGTATGTTGTGCCTTTTTTTTATGTGGTTAGCTGTCATTCGTAACTTAGATGCGAGTGATAAAGGAAGCCGGGACAATGAAAGTCTTGGCTAGAGAAGAAAAAAAAAAAAAAAAGATGGTTCAAATAAGACTAAGTACCATTTACTGGGTACTTGCTACATGCTGGGCACTGGCCAGAAATTTTCACCTATGCTGACTCAACTTTCTGAGGCACAGGCACTGATCCCCACTTTCCAGATGAGGAAACTGAAGCTTAAAAGATTAAGTAACTTGCCCAACGGCACACAGCCAGGCAGTGATAGAAAGATTTAAATTCTGACTGGCCACGTCCAAAGCCCATGCTCCACGCCTCGGCCCCTCCACAATCATCAATCAGTTGCAGCAGGGGCGGATAAAGACTCCTCTTCTCTTTAAGTTTCTTTATGTTAACTATCTACAGTCATTATCTTAACTCCAATGAGGTGTTAAAAATAACAAGCAAGCCGTCACTTGCGAGTTGACTGCTCCGTATTAACCCGAAGCCACAGGAACTCCTGTTATTAGTGAAACAAAGGGCCTCCTTTCCTCTCTGATGGATACTCTGAATCTGCACTATGTACTTACCACTCGTTCTCTGCTGGAGCTGCCTGTCTTCAGTGGAAAATCTATTCAGTCGTTGCCCCTGACTTCAGAGGCAAGGACTAAGGGAGCAGATCTAAAAGGTTATCCCCAAAACTCCACTTTTCAGAGCCAGCTTTTGGGATGTAGCTAAGGCACTGTTCCACTTACCCCTCTCTTGGTGTTTCAGTGAGAAACTTCTCTGTGAAAAGCAGGAAACGCCCTTTGCATCCCTCCTGGATGCCTGTTCTGATTATTCACCAACACTGCGGCTCCTAGGGCACTGAGTCTATTTCCATATTGACATTTCCTGGCCCAGTGATTCTGTGACAAGCTTGACAAGTTTTCACTCAGTTGCCATTAGTGTCTAACTGGCCCCCAACTGAGACTCCACTAAGGTGTCTGATGGGATCAAAGAACAGCACGTGGTCAAGTTCTCTTGATTAACTCTCTCAAGAGAAAAAAATAGTAAGTTCGGTTAAAATTAAAAGCAACCCCTGGAATTGCTATGTGACTGGGATGGCTGTCTTATTGAGGTATTCTCCTGACCATGTTATAGATGTATTCATCCTGGGAGCAGTAACATTTGCAGACATGCGTAAAATCAAATGTGCACCGTCAGGAAGATCTGCTCCATTCTACATTGTTCAAGGATTAATATAGGAAGCAGAAGGGTTATAAAGCCAAGAAGTATCAACTAGACACCTGGGTCCTCCTTAGCCCAACGTGGCTTTATGTTGACCATTCACACCTCCTTGTTATCTTCCTCTGTACACATATTTATATCCAGGGAAAAAAATTTTTTTTAATCTGGAGAATAAACAGTATTTGTGAAAATGTGTTAAGCTCAGAGAGAAAGGTGCTTATAAATCCAAGGCATCATTATTATGTCTCTCAACAACATAAAGATCGTCTCTCTAATTTAGTTTTTGGTATCTGTCAGATTACGGGTAAAATGAATCCCATGCTTGAGGGGAAGAATTGATGGCATCTCAACCCTAGATTGTCCTGGGTTTACCTGCACTCTTAGTTATCATTCACCCTATACCCATCCCCGATGGTGGTATTTAACACAATGCCTTCAGCAGTTTCCAACATCATAAGGAATTCATTTTATGGCATTTGCTGTTTCATATGAAGACTACAGGGCATTTTACTTCCTTATCTCAACGGTCCATTTAGTGCCATGGAGTTGGTGGGGTAAGAAGAAATAGAGGATAAACTCTGGACTGGTCAGTTCACTGTGTAGAACTTGCCTTTCTGCTCTAGCAAAGTTTTTAACTGTGTGGCTAAGGAGTTTCTTTCCCAATCCAAGGTTTTGTTCAAGATGTTTCTTGGAAGTGCCAACTTCGGTGAAGCAGCACACTTTGTCTCCATATTGGGTTTCTTCAATTTGATCTTCATCTCTTTCACCCCGATCATCCTGTATTTCACCAAGGTGGAGCACTGGTCCTCATTTGCAGCTCTGCCATGGGGCTATCTGTGTGGGATGGCCGGGCTGTGGCTGGGTAAGTGGCCCTGGGTTTTGCCTTCCATTCCCTATGTCACTTGAACTTTCCTTGGATAGATAAATGATCACAGTAGGGTTATTCCCTTAGGAAACTTCGTCCTCTATTTCCCAAACTTACCTAAGGTTGGCTAATGGTTAGAAGGTTCTTTGCAGGCTATTGCCTCATTAGATCAGAGATGTTCAACTGGTATACCTCCCATGGGCTAATGTGTGAGCTGGAGGCCCAGGCCACTCTGATCACCACTGGTCTTCAAGAAGCCTTGTCCATTCTTCATGATGTACTGTATGATGTCACTGTGTTCCAGGTGTAGCACGGTGTGCCAAGCACAGGGAGAGAGGAGATGGTGCATTCAAGGAACTCAAAGTGGATCAAAATGGATGGAATACCAAGTGCAGGAGGAATAAGGAGGAAGGAAGGAGATGACATTCTGGAAAGAAACAAGTCATGAAGGGCCTGGAAACCCATTAAGGGAGTGGATTTAAAATCCACTGAAAAATCTTTAAGCAGAGATGACAAGCTCACATCTGCATTTTAGTCAGCCCACTCTGGGGCTGTGTATGGAGAAGGAATTTGAGATAGGAAGCCCTCAGCAAGCACGAGAAGAAGGCAGAACTAGACTTGGTTGCCCTTCTAAGTAGGCTGTGCCTAGTCGATGACCAAGAAAAAGTCAACTGGAGACTTTAATGTTGTCTCTCCAAACTCCCCAAACTCAAGGTGGTCTGCTTCACCTGAGCAACCAGGGGGCTCCCAGCTCCCAGCTGCTTCTGTCACTAGCTGTGAAAGGAACCTGAAAAATAACAAACCCACGCTTGTCTCCCCAAGCAGGTGAACAACAGCAACCACGACATGACTCAATGTCCCTTTACTCAGAGCCAAATCACTTTCATTCTGCTCCTCTGTCCTCACCCTTCCTAAGGACAGTCCCCTCTGCCAGGTCCCCATTTACCCACCACACTTGACCTGCAGGACGTCTGCCAACCCTCAGCTGACCTTCTTTATCAAGGTGACATAATCTGAAGCAGCTTTGCAATTCCTGGGAGAAAAACATGCCCAGGTTTTCATTCCCACATAAGCACTGGGTCATCTTTTTCTCTACTTTAGCCCAGGCCCCTAAGGTGAGGTCTGAGACAAGAGAATGATCAAATGTTAATTGTTGGTGCTCTGAATTCTACTTTTGAAGTCCAAAAATATGTAGTTATGACCTTTCATAACCTCTGCTAAATTGAGTGGAATTCAATAGCACTGTTTCCATAAGACCCAAACATCCTAATTAAAAGTGCCTAGATAATTTCCTGGCCAAAAACAATCTAGCTGGGAGCAGTCATAACCCAAATTTCACTGACTCTTGGCCTCAGCTGTGTACACATGATCTCCAGCTTTCTGCAAAGTAGCCCTTCACCAACATATATCCCTTGGCAGGTCTAATACATGCTCCTATACCAGCCCCACTCAGGTTGGGTGTCACCCAGGCTACTGGGTACTAGTTCTCCATCAAGTAGCATGATCTCCATACTCCACTGGGTATAGCGCTGCCCAGTACCAGAGGGGCTCCACCCAGCCCGTCCCCAGCCCACAGCAGTCCTCATGGTGCCAAAGCTGCTCTGTGATAAAATGAGGGGACAGCCTCTCACCTGTGTTACACACCCCAGGGTTTATACAATCTTCACTGCTCCTGTTCTTGAGTTTTTATTTCCATCCCTCTCTTCTCCATTGTAACCAGCTATGATCTGGCTAGAGCTGGGCTGGACAAATAGCCGGTGGTCCTCTGGCCTGCCCACATTGTCTGTAACTACAGCTTTTATTTGCTTAGGCTCACCTTGCTTCATTCCTTCTCGAAGGTCAGGCTATCGCCAGGGAGTGCCTAAGCCCAAATGCAGGTTGGCCTGGTCCGTTCCCCTGACATGTCTGAAGCCCATTTCAACTTGGGCTGGGCCCCATGCTACAGATAACATATTGAATTATATATTCTTGTCCTTAGGTTGTCAGAAAAATGAGTAAGTGTTCTACCTAAAGAACTGATTAAAAACAGACAACACATTTCGGTGAAGCCCCCTGTTTCTTGCTGAGTGGGAAGGGCTCAGTTCTCACCCAAACACCAATACTTTCAATCCACTGAAATATCCAGTTCAGCTAATAAAATAGCCGTGCAGGAGTTTAGCAGAGTCTGTGTGGGACTGAAAAAATTCCTGACTTTAGCTAGAGTGTGCCATAGTTGATTCCCTGAGTCTGGGGAGAGAGTTGAGGGGCAGGAACATTTTCATTGTAGCTTTGCAATGAAGGAGAAAGAGTTACTAACTGAGGAAGGTCCTCTGCCTTAATTGCCACTACTATTATATGATAATTATGAAGGAGCCCAAGTTTTATGAAAGTCAAACCCACTGTCTCTAACTACCAAGTACAAGTGACTCCAGATAACTAAGTTAGTGGGCTTAATTAAAGCAAGAATTGTAGATAGCATAGAAGAATAAACACTGTCCTGAACGGAGTAGTTCTAGAACCATCTTTGGTTCTATAGAGATATAGGCAACATGGTTGAGTCATTTACAAAGAGATCTCTCTGAATTGAGGACCATTCGTAAACATCTAAACAACCCCTAAAATAAACACTGGATTGAAATCCATTAAAATAATGCTATGTAGGGGCACCTTGGTAGCTCAGTGGGTTAAGTGTCAGACTCTTGATCTCAGCTCAGGTCTTGATCTCCTAAGATCCAAACATTCTAATTAAAAGTGCCTAGATAATTTTCTGGCCAAAAACAATCTAGCTGGGAATAGTCATAACCCAAATTCCCAGTGTGGAGCCTACATAAAAAAATAAATAAACAAAATAAAATAAAACAATGCTATGTAGCTTATCATTGTTTTTCTTTTTTTATAATTGTTTTTCTTTTGAAAACATGTATTTTTGATCATTTTTGTAGGGGGTAGATGATTGTTTTATATTTTACTAAAAAGATCCAAAGATATTAATTAAAAGATATCTAGTTACACCTTCCTTTGGTTCTGTGGACCTGCCCTTGGGTAATCTGTGCACAAGTCAGGATGCGGAAAAGGTCCCTGGGGTTCAGTGCATTACACTGAACACATTTTTGTTTGCCTGCATGATGCTCACCACGAGAGAAAGGAAATAAAAGCGCATAGGCCATGCTTGGATAGAGCTTTGTTTTGGCAGTAACATGAGAGCCTTTTAGTTATCAGGAATATGTCATAATATAACAAAGTAACAAAGGGAAAAAGCCCAAACTTCAATCATTGTCTTCTTTCAACCTCTGGCTGGCCCCAGCCTACCTTTATAGTGCTAATAAGCAGTGTCGTAAATTGATTGTTTCACTGCTTTGCATTTGCTCAATATGCCCCTTGCCAGCCAGTTGGCAAGAGATCAGGCAGTCAAGGTGGCAGAGGAGAAAGAAGAATAGACTACTTCAATGGAGAAACGTGCATCCGGCTCCCAAATTAGAGAATTAATTGACCAAAGGTGCAGACAGTGTAGAAGGCAGGTTTAGCAAAAACACTGGTTCTATTATGTTTAGAAGGAAAGAGCCTAGCAGATCAGTTTCCCTTCATCATCTATATCCTTTATTTTACAGCCTTCAATATCCTGGTGAATGTCGGCGTGGTGCTGACATACCCAATCCTGATCTCCATCGGGACAGTGCTCAGCGTTCCTGGAAATGCAGGTACTTGTATGATTTGACATGTGCGCAGTCTCTTGCTTGTGTTCCTTTTACACCCTGTGTTGTTTCTTCGAGCAATTGTGAATTATGTCCCTTGCCTGGGAAGATGTTTTTAAATATCGGGAAGGTGGCAGACAACAGAATAACTATGCAGCAGATTTAAAATTTGCAGCTATAAACACTGTTTTTACTCGGTCGTGCTTTTAGAATTAAATACCACATGTATCATTTGGGTTTCATGTAATCTCCCTGACAACCTAATTTTGCGGTATTTTTAGAGGAAGTCCTGTGGAAACAAAAGGCATCCCAGCCGAGGACTCTCAAGTAAACGTCACTAATGAAAGTGTAGGAAATGTTCAGGGTGTTGGCTCCCCATCAGACTATCCGTGGGGAGCGGCAGAAGTTTCTCCTGGGGGCACAGCAGATGGCCCTCAGGAATAGATACAGGAAAAAGCAATTGGACTCACTTCAGGGACAAGAAGAGAAGCTATTTTTCCAGGATAATCTTCCTAGTGCAACCTGTCAATGAAACAAGTAATGAAAGTGAGTGATTTGGAACACCGTATAGTCCTTCTAACTGTAAAATTCTATTTTTCCAAGTCTCGGGTACCCACCTTTCTCTGCCCCGGGACAATCAGCAGGTGTTCATTGAGCACTTACTGTGTGCAGAACTGTAGAAGAAACGGAGGGCAGGGGGCGGGAAGGATGTTATTGTTCCCATAAGAAACTTTCACCAAATTTGGAAAACAAGCCCAGCATATATGAAATGGATTGAAATCCATTAAATATTCTTTATATATTTCTATATATTTACAACCCCACAGTGTGATTTATTAGCAAATGCCAAATCGTGTGAGACAGACTCTTAAGACTAAAAGATATCCAGAGGAAAGAAATATCAGAGAGGAGAGGAGTTGTCAAGGAAGTTCATTCATTCACCCAGGGATCCGGTCATTCAACACATCATTTCTGAGCACTTAGGATGTGCCAGGAACAGTGCTAACGCTGGTGAGGGGTCCTGAGTGAGACACAGTTCCTGTTCTCTGGACCATGCAGTACACAGAGGGAGACAAAAGGAATTGAGTAGTTACAATGTAGAAAGAGAATTGTCTTGATAGAGGTGTGTAATGAAGGCTCTGAGAACACACAGGAGTGGCTTCCAGGGAGGCTTCCTGTAAGAAGCCAAGAGAGAGAACTAACTCAGGGATTAGCTGGATGGTGTGGATATGAGAAGGGACGGGCATTCCAGGTAAAAAGAACAGCCTATGCATGACCAAGAATTCCACTACTAGGTACCTATGCCGAGAAACGGAAAACAGGGACTCAAAAGTATACTTGTACATGAATATTCATTGCAGCCCTATTCACAATGGCCAAAAGGTGGAAACACCCAAATGTCCATCAACAGATGAACTGATAACCAAGTTGTGGTACAATGGGATCTCATTCAGCCATAAAAAGGCAGGGAGTATGGAGACATGCTACCACATGGTTGAACCTCGAAAAGGTCATGCTAAGTGAAAGAAGCCACACACAAAAAAGTCACATGTGGTATGATTCCATTTATGTGAAATCTCCAGAATAGGTTAACTCATGGAAACCAACAGCAGATCCCCACACAGGAACTGGGAGGTCGGGGAGGGAGCTGGGGAATAGCTGCTTCATGGGTAAGGGGTTATAATTTGAAGTGATGGAGATGTTTTGGAACCAGATGGAGGTGGCGGTTATACAACATTGTGAACATACAAAATGCCACTAAATTCACTTGAACAGAGTTCATTTTAATTTACAGGAACTGCACCTCAATTAAAAATTTTTTTAAAAGAACAGCATGTGCCAAGACGTAGGCATTAACAAGCTTGGCTCATCTGAAAAATCATCAGCGGCCCAATGAAACTGGAAAAGTGTGAAGGGACGCAGAGGAGAAGTTGCAAGAAATAAAACTTGCAGAGGCAATTAAATGAGATGACATGAGCCTTGAAGGATAAGCCTGAGACTTAGGGAGAAGAAACAAAGCGAGCAAAGGGAACGATAGAATGATATGGAGAAAGGAAAGATGAGCTTGAAAGAACAAGGGAGACCTTAGAAATCTCTAGATGTAGCACTGACTTCGGTCATTTGTTCTCAGAGAAGCCTAGAAACAGTCATAGCCTATGACAGACCTGATTTTTCTGCCCTAGCTGTGGATCTCCTGAAGCAGGAGGTGATATTCAATGTCGTCCGCCTGGCTGCTACCATCATCATCTGCATTGGGTTTCTGCTGATGCTGTTGCCGGAGGAGTGGGACGAAATTACCCTGAGATTCATCAACAGCCTGAAGGAAAAGAAGAGCGAGGATCATGTGGAGGACATCACTGACTCCAGTGTGCACCTGCGGACCAGAAGCCGGGCCAATGGGACTGTGTCTATACCACTGGCTTAACGAGGGACACATTTTGGATGCACGTGTATGTATATTCTGTGAATATAATAAAATTTTCTCACTACCTGTACACTCAAATGACAGTATTAACTCTGAATCTCAATAAGTCATATGTGAAATAATGCCAATGATAAAAGTTTACATTTATATGCTTATCAAGGAACTGGTGTAAATAATCATAATAAAAATTTTTTATTAAAACATATTCATCTTTGTTCTATTTCTTCTGTTTTGGAGGGAATTACCCCCCCCAACCCCAATTTGCAAAGTTTCTTGAAAACATGAGATTCTACTAAGTTATGGGCTTACCATGACCTTACCCTCCCTGGGAACTGAGATGTTTTTGTCCCATCAGAGAAAGTTGCATAAGAGGAAAACACATGTAAAGGATACACACTTTATATATATTTAAGTCCAATAAGAGCCTTAAGTTTGAAGGCTGGAAAGTAATTAAACAACTATCAAAAGAGTATCTTCTATATGCAACACTTACACTAGGAAAAATGAAGGTGTGAAGATATAGAAGAACCCACCTGTACTTCTGATGTGCTTAGAGTAGTACTGAGCGTAAGAGTCGTTACAAATATCTCTAATATGAGGTAGACATTTAAAAATGACGCAGGGGTTACAGAGAGGACATCTCTATAGCGCTTGACATGATGACCACTCCTTTTTCCCCAAATATCCTCTTTACCTGGCTCCCCTATAGTTTCTGCCTCTCTGGCTGCTTCTCTGGGCTCCTCTTTCATGGCTGGTCTCATCACTGTCAGCCTTCAGTGCTTGGCCTTCTTAGCATCTCATTCCACACTCTCTCCCCCAGGGATTTCATCTACTCCAGTGGCTTCAAATGTCACCCATGTGGTGATGGCTTAAAAATCTTTATCTCCAGGGGCACCTGGGTGGCTCAGTCATTAAGTGTCTGCCTTCGGCTCAGGTCATGATCCCAGGGTCCTGGGATCGAGCCCCGCATCGGGCTCCCTGCTC